CGTTCTGCGCTGCCTGCATCAATGACAGCTGACAAAGTCCAAAGGAGCAGAAGGACCAGCAACCCCCGGCTGAGACTTAAGCCTTTCATGACACTCTCTTTAATTAAATGAAAGTGTTTATTTCTCAGCGCAGAAGAGGGTCAAAGGAAGCTCATTGACACTCTGACCCCGATTAAGTTCAGGAAAACGTCTGTGTCAGCACAGTCTGTCGTTAGTTTGATCTCTTCTGTTTCAATCACAGTTTTTGGAGAAGAAAGCCGAAAGCATCTCTGCTCTCACACTGAATGGTCTCCTTCATTTGTGACGATGTCCAAGGATTCCTCCCTCCTCTGTCTTCGTTGTTTGGTCGTAATCGTGTTTTCTGAGGCCGGGTTCTTCCAGGTAATAAAGACTTTTATATATTAGCTCAACTGATCAGCTGTTGCATGTTTTTTCCTTAAGGTATCAGGTGCAGATCCAGATCCACTCTGCAAAAAATATGGAAGAACCCAAAGCTACAAATTTCAAAGCAGAAGTAATGTGAAGATGAAGAGCTAAATATCTTTGTACTCCCACTCTTCTCTGGTGGCTCCAGTTTTAGAAGTGGCTGAAGGGAATTGCCTCTGCCCCCTTCTTATCTGCGCTGGCTGAGAAGAGAGAGAGAAGAGGGGAGAGAGGAGGGAGAGAGAGAAAGGACGGAGGAGGAGAGGGAGGAGTGGACGGACAGGAGACCTGAGGGAGGTCTGTTAGAGTACCCTGTCTCTGTTAGTGGGCTGAGACGAATTGAGAGGAGGAAGGAAGGAAAGAGTGAGAAGTAGCCAGAAAAGAAGAAGAAATGTGAAGATTAAGGGAGCGAAAAAGAGTCAGATAAGGAATACAAATGCTGAGAAAGTTTGAAAAGAAACTTAACTGCTGACAGACAGAGAAAAGACACCGAGAAAGAAGGTGATAGAAGAAGAAAGAGAGATCTAAAAGAGGCTCCTGTAATCTTCTTTACTGACTGATCTGTTAGTTCTGAAGAAAACCCCGATGCCTTGTATGGTCATTCAAACAGAGCTGGCAGCCAGAGGCAGCACATTTCACTTTGTCCACTAAACACAAACATGCTCGGGGGCATCGTGGGACATCAGGAGGCCAAGGAAACCCACGCAGTCTACGTACTTAAAGCTGAAACGCTCTCTCAGTCGCAGGATGTACCTCCTCAACGCCTCTCATCTGTCCACATGGAAACACATACAAAGATTAGTTCCAGACTGATGGCTTTGTCCCCGGATGGTGAAACACAAGCTCTACATGTGGCGAGACAATGTGCGCTGTCAGTTACAGAGTTTGTTTGCACAATGACAAACTGTTTTGCAGAACGCAGATAAAATTCTTTGATACGAGCCGCGAGACAAACAGATTCCTGCGAGAGAACGAAGCCTCCGAAACGGGTTTAGAAAGGCAGCTCAGCGTTAGGCGATCAAAGATTGAATGATCCTGTTTTGAAGACTGTGTTTCTGCAAAGATAAAGAGCTGCTCCCAACATCTTACCACCGACAAGTTATTTATTTTGACATAAAGCAGTCCTATTTTCAGCCCGGCCTGACCCCGGTCTACTGTTACTGCCACAGCATGCATCTTGTTTTTGTCGGGACCGGGTCACTCACTTAATGTAAGCCAATCGGTCCTTTGGGGGAAAGCAGAGAGGTTACACTTCTGCTTCAACCGGAGATCATTGTCATGTGAACGGGGGTGGACGGAGAGCCTGGTGCACAGAGCTGCACAACATAGATGAGTCCTCTAATTGCATCATTTCTGTTTGTGTTTTAAAAGGAAAATGTTTTTTA